GTTTTTTTGGTGCTTTTCTATGGGGCATGTTTTCTCTTGTTTGCTGCACTCATACTCCTTACAGCCTCCCACCTGCCTCAGCTCTCATTTCTGGCTTTCATAGGCATTAGTACTAATATTTGCAGCCCAGAGCAGTCTGACTCCCAGGCCAAGACCTTTCTGTATCCTGTGTTTAGAACACTTCTTGTATTTTGCCTCCTGTGTACCATCCTGTCTCTTTTGGGTGCTCTCTGTCCCCCTCTAAGCCTGTCCAAATCCTGCCATTCCCCAGGGCCAGCTTCTCCTCGGTGAAACCCTCCCCCGCCAGCCCAGGTGGAAGCGTTCCCCTTCCTTCATCATAAAGCCCTTCGGTTTGTCTGTCTTTCGGTGCCTCTGGGTAGCGTTTTCTTTTTGTGCGTTGGCTGCCTCTCCAGGGCAGGGCCTCCCAGGGTTGACACAGAGAGCCTCACGTGTGGTGAATGCTCAGTGGATACTTTCTTCACCAGAAGGATCCAGGGCCTCGTTCTGTGGGTACCAACAGGAAGATCTCTGTCTCAGTGGGGGATGATGTTAGCTGGTGGCTTACCCAGCCACTCTGAAGAGGTTGTTTCATGTCTTGTCACCTGAGCCCCTGTTGGCAGATCTATTTTTAGTGTGGGGAAGTCCCCGAACACAACTAAATTCTGGCAAACCAGAGTAGGTCATGGGTGGAACTATTTCCTTGTAAGTGACTTGATCTGTCCCCAAGGTTATTCAGTGATACAGCTTTATACAGAAGATAGAGCTCAAGAGAACATCAATTGAATTTGGACTATGTCCACACTCCTCGTTAAAATGATTAAACCCAAATATATGCAGGATTCTATGCCTGATGCTAGATCTGTTTTTTCTTTTCACATGTACCTCCATGGCCCCATCTCTCTGTCCTCCCCGGGGCTTTGGTTTCAGTATCACCGACCTTCAGAATCCACCCTGCTGTGTGCTCCACGCCCTGCTCTGGTCCACACACAGCCTGACCTCCTCCTGGCCTCTGAGAGAAGCGGGTGGGGGTCCTGAGAAGCCCATAGGTTGGTAGAAAATGCTGATGCCTAGTGATTCATTATAATTACTCAGCGAGTGAATACTTAGTTTGCATCAACCTTCCCACTTAGAAAGCCAAGCCCAGGATTGCCCAGCTACCTGCCCTTGGGGCATGGCGGTGACCTTGGGATGCTGGCTGTTTTCTTTGGGGCTTTGCTTTGTCTGGGCCAGAGGATGAGTGGACCCTAGGGCCGTGGTGTCCAGTGAAATGAAAGACCCCATGTCACTTGCCACGTGTGGCAGCTGAGCCCTGAAATGTGGCTGAGATGTCCAGGGAACCAGATTTTGAATTCTATTTCATCTTAGTGAATTTAAACATAAATACCACATGTGGTGGCCACGTTGGATGGCCCAGACCTCAAGGGTGGGGGAAATGGGTCACATGAGGTCAGAACCTTTGGGGAGCCCAGTACAGTCGTGGTGACAGGAGACCTAATTGCAGACGCTGCCGTGTGGGCGAGACTCTACCGCTGAGCAAGTAAAAGCTTGTTTGACCAAATTTGGCCTCAAAGCTGAACGATGTTTGCGGGGAAACCTGTGCTATGCTGTGCTGACGAGGGCATTGTTCACTTCTTCTTTTATTTCCTTTCAGAAGAGCAGACACGGAGCTTCCCTCAGCTGTGATTATTTGAATGAGTCTCTATATCCTGTTTCCTCTACTTGATTTCATTAAACCGTGACATAAATGCATACTTTGCACCCAAAGCATGTCTAACCACTGAACCCAAATGACTGTTTTGAGAGAGGAGTCAGGGAACTTAGGGCGAGGCTGTATAGACTGTTACACAGATGGAAACTTGTGGGGTTATCATGCTTACTTGGTTTTTCTTGAATAGCATCAGCTGAAATGGGCTCTGGGTGTTTTGCCCTTACATGGTGGTTATTAAAGTCGTGCTGAGCTGCGGGCATAGGTGAATTAATCTTGTACCACATTTGCTAGAATATCCTCACCGTGTGTGCTATGACTTCAGTATTCACTGGCCCCAGGGAGGGTCCATGTGTTCAGGCGTCATTTATTTCACGCTGCGGCTTCCCAGCTGCAGTCCGTGTTCATGGGCTGCCAGTTGTTCCGTCATCTAGTGAGTTTCTTTGTTGGTGTTTCGGTTCCCACCGGTCCTTTCACTCCGGAAAGTCTGGCAGCCCCTTGAGAGCCACACCGCTCTCTGTGGCTCCCCAAATGGCTCCCCTCTCCACCCACAGCCTTCCTTTCAGCCACAATGTCAAATATACACAATATAGGAAGTCAGCGCAGGCAGCCCCGGAGCAAGAAAATACCAGTGTGAAAGGTAGATGATGAACAGGGAGGCTGGCACCCACACAGGGGAGCGTCAGTGTGGTCCTCCCCAGCATCCTGACTGAGTGGAGTGCAGCCTTGGGGTCCTCCAGTATCCTCCCCCTGGTGGAGGCCACGTCCGTCCCCATCTCTCTGCTCTGCCCTTTGTTCAGTTGCTCAGTCGTGTCCGAATCTTTGCAACCCCATGAACTGCAGCACGCCTGGCTTCCCTGTCATTTCCCATCTTCCGGAGTTTGCTCAAACTCAGGTCCATTGCGTCAGTGATGCCATCCAACCATCTCATCCTCTGTCACCCCCTTCTCCTCTTGCCTTCAGTCTTTCCCAGCATCAGGGTCTTTTCCAAGCAGTCTGTTCTCTTCACATCATGTGGCCAAAGTAGTGGAGTTTCAGCTTCAGCATCAGTCCTGCCAATGAATATTCAGGACTGATCTCCTTTAGGATGGACTGGTTTGATCTCTGTGCAGTCCAAGGGACTCTCCAGAGTCTTCTCCAGCACCACAGTTCCAAAGCCCTGGGGAGAGCTTAAAAATGGTATCTAATTTGAAAGAGTGGCTCTGTACCAGTCTGAGAGACAGACTGGCTCGATAAAAATGTGGGCTGGATGGCTTCCAGGGAAGGAGGGAAAAGGCACAGCAGCCTAGCCAGCTCTAAGTGGAGCCCAGTAATGCTGTGTTCATTGCCTCATGTAGCCTGAGTCTTGGGGCCTGTAAGGTACCGTCAAATATTCCTATAGGCAGATGCACACCTCCAACCCTGTACTGTTTTTCTGATGCCCTGAAAGGCCAGGTGATTATGTTTTAATTTGATTCCTATCGCTACTCTCCAGCAAGAATCATTCTTCTGCAGTTCTGAGGTCATTTGACTTCTCTAAGGAGACTTGCTTTTTCCTTCCCATTTTTTGTTAGTATTATTAAAAAATGTAAAAGAGATTTTAACTTTAATAAGACTAACCTCCCTCTACTTTGGGTTCAGCTTTCCTTCTGCTTTATCTGAACTTTCCAATATTGACTTCATATCTTATAATAGTAAAAAGAACCTCACAATAGTCAGCGCCCCTGTTTATAAGGATTTACAAGGATTTCCCTGGTGGCTCAGACGGTAAAGCATATGCCTACAATGTGGGAGTCCTGGGTTCGATCCCTGGGTTGGGAAGATCCAGGGCAGTCCACTGCCTGGCAACCCACTCCAGTACTCTTGCCTGGAGAATCCCGTGGATGGAGGAGCCTGGTGGGCTACAGTCCATGGGGTCGCAAAGAGTCAGACGTGACTTCACTTTCACTTTCACTATTTATAAGGGTTTGAAGAGCTCTGTGTCAGGAAATGGGATACAGACAGCAATAAACATTTTCTTATTATTTCACAGTAGTATATCATCTGCCTCAGTTTCCTCAAAACACTTGGGTCCTCACTTTTGTGTAGGAGCAGGAAAAAGAACGGTTGGGCACCATTACCTAGTAGATGTGCTTTGCTAGAAAGGAAATTCTCAGAAAGTCAGCCTTGCCTCTGAGGACCAGACAAGGCGGCTGGCACAGAGCAGCAAAGCCCAGGTGGACGCACAGGTGCCCCACACAGGTTTCTCTCTGACTTCGGTAAATACTCCTCGCCATCCCTGGGGCTGGGACGAGTTGGCAGGCAGGTGGCTCCTCATGGGAAGGGGAAGTGCAAAATTAAAGCACTCTTGTAAATGCGATCTTTCTCTCCGCTTTCTCAGACCAAGATGTGGGGAAGAGGTAGATGAGAGGAGAGGTAGCCAGGATTAACCGGGCACTGGAGGTCAGATTCCAGATCAGGAGGTCTCTCACCACATCGTCGCCCTCTGTTGTGGACGGGATGTCTTTGGCTGCAGGAATATTAAACTTGACTCCCAATAATAGGGCTCTACTGGGATGTCGGTGGGCTTCAGCGGTGGTTCGACTCTGAGACATTTTTTAGAATCCTCTTTCCTTACTTCTCCCCAGCCTGCCCACCATGAGTCAGACTCTCCCTTCACAGTTGCACAATGGTTGCAGCAGTTTCTAGGTAACAGACTCCCTCAGCCCACTCTCCACCCGGGCTGCTGCTGTTGAAAGAACTTCTTTTCCCCCTGATCTGAGTTGAGTTTGTAACTGGGGCTGGGGTGACATTGACCCAAGAGCCCTGGCTCAGAAACCCCTGGACTCAGGTTTTTCCAGACCCAGAACTGGGAAGGGAGATGCAGATCCATGTCCCCCCACCCGCCCACTCTCCAAAAAAAAAGACCAAGTAGTCGCCAAAGAAGTGTCGATGTTCAGTAGGAAACTGAAAGTCACACAACTCTTCCTATAATTGATCAACCCCCCCCATTAAATACTCAGAAAGGCAATTTCCTCCCAGAAAGTAGAAAATCGTCATTGTTGAGGTGGCATTAGTGTCTATGCTTTGTGACTCTAATGTCTCCTTTGCTTCCACTCCTCCTTCTGTTCCTTTTCCCTCGTTCCCCTTCCCACCTCTTCTTCCTTTTTCTTCTCTTTCCTACTTCCCCTTCCTCTTCTTTCCCTCCTCGTCCTCCTAGTCTCTTCCCTGTGCCCCCACCCCCATTAATTGTCAGCACATCTATATGACTCAACGACATTGATTGGATAAAGTGCAGTATCTCACTAAATAGAATGTTTCCATATTTGTTCCCCAGGAAGAAGAAATGCCAGATGTGGAAATTGACATTGATGATCTTCTTGATGCAGACAGTGAAGAAGAGAGGGCTTTAAAATTACGGGTAAGTAGTATTCAAAATCCAGATCCTTTGATGAATGCTTGAATCCACTTGGGTCTCCAGAGCATGGCTCTCACTGATCCTGCCCTGGGGTGGTGTTGGCACCAGCACTTGGGCAGTGGCAGGTTGCAGAGGGAATCAGTAGGATGCTGAGTATTCACCCACATAAACTGCATATCTGGAGATAAAACAGCCCGAAGGACCTGACTATAGTCAGATCTTAAATCACCTTATAGATGTGAGTTTTTCCAGCTCCAGCTTCTTAGGAGAAAGATGGTTCTGCCTCCAGAGATCCACTTGCCAGAGAAGAAAGGCATGTCCCACAGTTGTATGAGAAGGAGAGGGACTGAGCTAGAACTGGAATACCTAAGCCCAGGATTCTGGTCTTGCAGTTGTGGATTATAGCATTCATGAAATTCATTCCTAGATAAGATTGCTTGCAACATGATTCTAATAATATATCTTTTATTGGAGCATGCTCACCTAATATAATGGATATTGAGATACCCCCCACTTCCTTTCTCCAGAGCAAAAATAAAATACTTACTTCCCTTTCCACAGGAAGTCAAATCTATCATTTTAAAACCTGCATTTGGGAGTTTCTAAAACCAATTAACCTTTGACCTGCCATGGTTCTCACTGTTCATTGATAATTACTATTAAGGCTGTTAGTTATCACTGATGACAAATGATCACTAGGGGCAAGCAAAGGACACATTTGAATGTGTTAATGTGTTTAGTGTGTTAATAATTACTGGTGCCCCTTGAGTGGTGAGCAGTCTCAGTTTAATGATTATTTCTTGTTGTTAAATTTAGTTGGGAGATGATAGCATCCCGGTTATGAAAGTTACAAAAAGCAAAACAAAAACAAACAAAAAACCCCAGGTACCAGTTCTATAGAAAATGTAATGACATAAAATTTTTTTTCTAAAAAATAATTACTTGAAAGAGGCTTTAACTGCCATCAGGTCACCCTGGCTTGTTCTCAGGGGAGGACAACCAAAGCCTGCAGAGGTGAGACAAGCTACCTCGTGGTTGAATCATAGCCAGGCTCTCATTCCCCACGTCCAGTGTGACTGTCACCATCTCTCACAGGCTGTCTCAACTTAAGTGTATCCAGATTATTATGAACCACATAGGCAGCCTGAAGGACAGATGTATATATGTGTATTCTGAAGAGTGCAAATGAAAGGTACAACTTTGTGTCTTCAGAGGGCTAACAGATACTGAAATACAGTGTGATTCTTGGTAGTCAGTATGAAATATTGATTTACCCTATTAAGAATAATGTTATAAAAATGAGATGATTTCACTTAAATGATGTTAAATTTTAAAATAAAACTTCTATGTATTTCCTTCTAGGAAGCTCTTGTAGACTGCTACAAACCAACAGAGGTAAGCAAATGTCTTTCCCTAAATGTCAAGTTTGAGTTGGTTTTTTTCTTTTTTTATTAAATCAATTTCTCTATTTTAAAAGCGGAACCACAATAAGTGGTTTTGATTATGTGTACACTAAGTAGCCATTATATTCATAAGTGAAGTGCATGTGTTTGTATAACACTGACTTCCTTATTTGTAAACCTAAACATGTCTGGTTCTAGAAGACTTAAAACTAATAGAATTGGGTGTGTTGCATACTTTTATATCATATAAAAGCCAAACTTCAAAGGAAATTATAAGAAGGTTTGGAATCATTTTAGTAAAAATTTTAGATTTATAACTAGAGAATACATTCTATTAGTGTAGAGGTATGTATTTTTAAAAAGCTTAAAGCTGATTCTGTCATTTATAATTGAATGGTTGCCTTTATTGGAAGGATAAATTTTATGCTTCGTGTGGATATTTGTCAAGAACATAAGCATTAATGTAAAACACTGATGTTAGTTTGATCAGACCAAAGCATTTAATGAATACTCTAATGGCCAGTGTACAAATTAAGGATTTGATCATTTAGGAAAATATTTGTAAAAGAAGTATTTTCACTTTGCTCCTATGATAAATAAGAGAAATTAGAAGATCTATCAGATGTTTTGAAGTTAATTTACAATATCTAAGCAATAATGAGAGGACTTCTGTTTTTGAAGTGGTATAACTACAAAGTGAGAGGAAAGCATGTTTTAAAGAGTATGTAAAATTTAAATGAATGGGAGATTTTAGGATCATTTGGCTTCAGGTCAATTGCTTATTTGAGCTTTATTCTTACAATCCTCCGTTTTCCTTTATATGTATTACATACTGTATTCATAGAGATTTTAAAATTTTAGGTATCAAAACATATATATATATATATATATTTTAATCAATGTGATACATATATTCATAATTTGAAAACCAAAAACAGGCTTATGGTGAAAAAGTAGCCATGTCTTTCACATTCCTTAGTTCCCCTCCCTAGAGGTATATATTTTATATTTGTGTATCTTTGTATAACAACAATTTTGGTTGTTTCCCTGCCGATTACTCTTATATAGCTAAGTATGCATTTACCACTTTTTTTCACTCCTTGACTTAAGAGGAATATGATAGATCTCTTACTCGCCACACAATTCATTTCCTTCCATCCCCTCAATAAAATTATTTAACAGAATTGTTTTAACTCAGTAGTCAAGATTAACAGTACCATGATTTAAATAAATGTTTTTCACTGATAAGTCAAACAGTGAAATATTACCAATGTTTCTTTCTTGCATAGCCATTTGTTTTTCCTGGAGTTGATGAGTACCTTGTCATTTATTTTTGTCTAGTGCCTATTGGTATTTGTTGTTGTTGAACTCTCCAGAATCTTTGTCTATGTAGTATATTTTTTATATGCTCAAACACAGCACTACTATCACTCCACACCAGGCTTTCCTCCTGGAACCCTCTGCAATAATATGGAGAAGTTATTCTCTGGGTTTGCTGAGTAATTATTGTGTTGAGACTTCTGTTCACTGCTGTCCCCTGTCAGATGCTTTATTTCTTAAATCTGTCTTCGTCATTTAAATTTGAGTACATCATCCTACAATGGCTTTTTGGGAAAGGATGTATAAAAGGTAAATTTTTTGAATCCCTGCATATATGAAAATATATCTTGATTGATAGTTTGGATGGTATAGATTTCTAGATAAAATTCATTTCTAAAACTCAATTTTAAGGGCATTATTCTATTGTATTACTTCAGTTGTTAAGAATTCAGAAGCCTTTTCCATTCTCAGAATCTAGGTGACCTATTCTTTTCCCTTCAGTTAACCTGGATTATCTCCATATTTTGGAATTTTACAATGATATGCTCTAGTGTGGGTCCTTTTCTGTTCATATGCTGGGTACTTTGTAAACTCTTTTAGTCTGAAGATTTATGCCTTTCAGCTCTTCAAAACTAATTTTTTAATATTTATTATTTTTATAAATTTTTCCCCTCAATATTCTATATTTTTGGCTCCCTTATTATTTAGATGTTACCTCTTCTAGATGGAGCCTCTAACTTCTTATCTTTTTCCTTTTGTTTTTCATCTCTTTGATCTTTTGTTCTACTTTCTGAAAGGTTTCCCTGACTTTATCTTCTACACTTTTTATTGATATTTTAAAATTTCAGCTATCTTATTTTTAATATTCAAGAACTCTTTCTTGATCACTGTTCACTATTTTGTTTGAGTATTTCTTCTCGTATTATGGATGCATTTATTTCTTTTTTCTCCTTGAGTATATCAGTCAATGTTTTGTTTCCTTTTGAAGATTATTCTGCTCTCTGCATTTTCTCTTTTTTCTCTGAATCACATTTTTTCTCTGTCTGTTTTTGTCCATCCTTGCTAATTCTGGGAAGTGTATTCATGTTTGAATGTTAGGACTCAGTAAGCTGATTGGAATCTGTGTGTATGAGCACAACTTGTCCACTGGTGGGTCTCACCATGGAGTGACCAGGTTGCAAATCAGATTTTTTTTTTTCATTGTGTGTGGGTGTGGAGAAGGGGGGTGCATTCCAGGTGGTTCAGTGGTAAAGAATATGCCTGCCAATGCAGGGAGATGCAGAAGACGCAGGTTCTATCCCTGGCTCAGGAAGATCCCCTGGAGGAGGAAATGGCAACCCAATCCAGTATTCTTGCCTGGAGAATCCCATGGACACAGGAACCTGGTAAACTATAGTCTATAATGTTGCAGAGAGTCAGACACGACTGAGCGCACATACATACACACACACACATTTGGAACAGGGGGCTTCTCAAACTATTGCTGTTTGGACATCTCTTTTCTGGAGAGGTTTTTCTGTTTGTCTGTTTTGTTTATTTTTTTTTTTTAAGATTTGACCCTGTAAACTCCGATCTGAGGGTTGATAATCTGACTTTAGGCTTTGTCGAAGTAAGGACAGAAAGGCAGCAGGTGACCTCACCCTTTAGCTCTTTGGGGACTAGAATTCCTTTATTTATACATAGTTGGGAAATTAAGAATTAAAACAATTAGATATTTGGAGAGCAGTATCGAATTGTTGCGAAGGGTTGGACAAGCTTAGTGGAATCTTAGTCAGGAAAAGTGATGAATTATGCCGATGAATTAACATGTGATGTGGGGGTGGGGGGTGGCTGCTGAGAGTAGATGCAGGCTGGTGGGTGTAGACATGCCCCTTACTCACTTATCATTCCTTTTTTCTTCAGTTCTTCTGGTGGGGAAGTGCATCTTTTGGTATTTAGGTAAGAAAGGTTGGATATGCATGAGAGCCCTCCGCCTCTTTCCCCCAGGTTTTGCAATGTTCAGGGAGAAAAGTGTTTACACTCCTCATAATTAAATGAGATGGAGGGTCTTTTCCTCCTGCAATAATTGTATTCCTTAAAGCAGAAACATTACTTTATCGACAAAGGTCCGTATCGTCAAAGCTATGGGTTTTCCAGCAGTCATGTATGGATGTGAGAGTTGGACCATAAAGAAAGCTGAGTGCTGAAGAATTGATGCTTTTGAACTGTGGTGTTGCAGAAGACTCTTGAGAGTCCCTTGGACTGCAAGGAGATCAAGCCAGTCCATCCTAAAGGAAATCAGTCCTGAATATTCATTGGAAGGATTGATGCTGAAACTGAAACTCCAATACTTTGGCTACCTGATGTGAAGAACTGACTCATTGGAAAAGACCCTGATGCTGGGAAAGGTTATAGGCAGGAGGAGAAGAGAATGACAGAGGATGAGATGGTTGGATGGCATCACCAACTTGAGATGGACATGAGTTTGAGCAAGCTCTGGGAGTTGGTGATGGGAACTCCACACCAGGGAACTCCAACTTCCACACCAAGGAAGCCTGTCATGCTGCAGTCCATGGGGTCGCAAAGAATCATACACGCTAAGCAGCTGAACTGAGCTGGTCTCTTTGAAGAGGCTTATGAGATGAGAGGATGTGGTATTTGAATGTTCCTCGGAGTCCCAAAGGAAGAAGGAAGGAAAAGGTGCTGTAGTTTATGATGGAGCCTGTCTTGCCCGTTTTTTTAGCTCATGGTTCCTAGGAATGGAAATGGTGTAAAACACTGGGGAATTTCAATCAAGGTCACTGGTGTATTAAAGGATCATTTCAGAGAAGTTTGGATAGTTTTGTCTTTAAGCTTATGTGCATAAGAAACAGATTTTACTGGCACCTGGACTGTGATGATAAAGTTAATAGCTTGTGTTTCCCCTGAGCTCCAGAGTTCACACTGAGGGAACAAGTATTATCTTATTTAATCCTCACAAGCATCACTTGAAGCAGAGAATTTGGGTGACTTGTCTAAGATCTCGCAGCAGTGAGCAGAGAGACCGCGACTTATCCTTAAGTTTCTGACACCTGATCTTGTGCTCTTTCTTTCCATCCTGCCAGTCTTCCTAAGCTGCTTGACATAGCAAGACATGTAGGACATTAAAGGACTTTGACTTATCTCAGCTAAATGCCTGACAATTAATGCTGTTCCTTTTCAAGTCGCCTTCTCTGGAGGTACTATTTTTTGATCAAAAGAATTTTACATACAATTATTTTGCCTCTTTGAAGTTAGAAATGTAAGGAAGCCGTCTTTGCTGAATCAGACAGATCTATTTATAGTCTCATTGCAGAAGATGAGTTGGCAGTGGCGGGGCTGGGGGGCAGGGAGTGGAAAGAAGGCTGGACTTTGAATCTAGAGTCTTATACCAGCACCAAACTTGTGTGACTTATAGCAATTTTCTCAACCTCTCTGAGCCTCCTTTTCCTCCTTTATGAAAATGGAGGTAGTAATAACCACCTCCTTAGATTTTCGTAAGGGCTATTTGCAATGAAAATATTATTAGTGATAGCAACAATAATAATAGCTTAGTCATCTCTAAGCACATGCCAGGCACTGATGTAATGCATATATTAATCATTTCATCTTCACAGCAGAGTTATGAGGTTGGCACTATGATCCTCAGTTGAGACACAGAACAGCCTCTGTAAA